TAAACTCGAAAAGGGCAGATCAGCCAAGGGGTCAGGACACCCTCCTCCTCCCCTCGGCCTGGGGTCCCCCGGGACGAGGAAGTCTTGAGTGATGGGCGCGGCCTGGGAGCCCAGGACCTGGCACAGAGCCCGTCTATTGACGCCCCAGATAATCATGTTTCGGGGTCCTGTGAAGCCACCGGAATTGACCCAATGCGAGCGGTAGTGGGAATGTGAGTGACGCTCTTTTCTGGGCGGGCACAGGTTTCGGCAGATGGTTCTCAGGGTGATGAAAGGCCACACACCATCGAGAAAGGCATTGCTCTCCTTCCCTGGTTCCCTTTGATCCGTCCACTGCGTGTTCTGCTCCTGTCCCTCCCTGGGCCTGCTGACTTCTGCTCGCTTCGCCTCTGCAGTGGTTTGGGATCCAGGAGCCCGGAGCCCGCCCGGAGCGCACAGGCTCAGATACACCAGCTTGATCTAAAGTGGCTTCGTGACCCCTGGCGGCCAGCAGGCGCCGCTGCCGCCTCACGGCATCTGTGTCCTTCACTAACCAGGACCCATGGAACCGACTTCTGTTCTCCACCTCCCTACCCCTATCCGCTTCTCCACGCTGTTCCAGAATCCGCGGAACCTCTACTTCCAGCCTCGGTGTGAGCTTGGCTTTCACTTCCCGCCCTACTCTTATTCCGATGGAGAGGACGCGGGATGGGTTGCCCCTGGTGAGCGTGTATTTAATGGGTCAGGGATAAGAAGATCGGCTTCCCTCCCACTTGGAGAAGGGAATCATTTTCTCCATTTCCCTTCTAGATGGAAACTTCCGATTCTCACCCCATTCCCCGCCATCCCATCCCAGGCCCAGGTGAGCAGCACTGGAATGACAAAGAGCTCAGGGATTGGCTGGAACAAACTAGGGCGGGAGTCTCAGGCCTCCACACTAACTCCTGTGAGAACTTGGGCAATTATTGAACTTCGCTGCGTCTCAGCTTCTTTATAGTAATAAAGAACAGTAGCCCCCTAACCGGTTTGGCTCAGTGGATAGAGCGTCGGCCTGCAGACTCAAGGGTCCCAGGTTCGATTCCGGCCAAGGGCATGTACCTTGGTTGCGGGCACATCCCCAGGAGGGAGTGTGCAGGAGGCAGCTGATCGATGTTTTTAACTCTCTATCCCTCTCCCTTCCTCTCTGTAAAAAAATCAATAATATATATATATATTTTTAAAAAGAACAGTAATAGGGTCATCATAAAACCATCATGTACTCCCCCAAAAGCACCCAATAAATACGGCTGGTCTAAGATTATTTCAGGGTTCTTCTCCCTCACCCACCTGACCTTATCGTGGCTACTATAGTCTTTACCTGAATCGGATTCTCCCCGGCCCCAGCATTCCCCTTTGCCCTTCACATAACCATCGGACGTCATGGGAATAGGCAGGTCTGTTAGAGCCACACTTTGTGCTGTTTTTGTGCCCACTGGGGTCCCGTCTGTCTTCTCTGAGTTTGCTTCCTCCACTGCGAACATGACCATCAATTCCTCCCCTACAAACCTCACTGGGACAGTGTGGAGTGAACGCCCGCGGTGGGGTGAGAGCGTTGAGGTGTCTGTGGGAAGGGCTCTGTGCTTAACCTCCTGGGGATCCGGGAGGCCAGCAGGTTGGAGAATTCCAGCTCATTCCCCATCTTCCTCCCCGCTCCCTCCGTGCACGGCTCACCTTGCTGGTCCGCCCTTTCCCCCTAATTCCTGTAGACACATCTGCAGGCTCCCTTTCCCTGGAATTTCCTCCCTGTCATTTGGGGTCTCAGGAGAGGCTTCCACAGAAGCTAATGAATAGCTAAGGGTCATGCTAATGGGGCTCTGGGGCTTCTCCCCAGCACCTGAGTACACACACACACACACTCACACACACACACTCACACACGCGCGCGCACGCGCGCACATACGCACGCACGCACGCACACACACGCACACACCACTGCCCAGGTCTCCTTTCTCGCCGCCTTGGGGTCTCCAGCGCAGCGCTCGCCCCAGATCCCAGTTGGCGGAGGCCAGCGGACCCCGGCTGGGGAAGAACCAGAGGGAACCCCGGCCCAAGTGCCAGGGAACGCGCGGGGTCTCAGCCGCGATTTATTAATCAGCGTCATTAGCGCGGACGACCTAGCCGCCAGCGCAGCCTGCCCGCCCAGCTCTGCCCGGTGGACCGGCTGCGAGCCCGCCTCTGAGGGGCGAACTCCTAAGTTCCCTGAAACGGTCGCTGCCTCTGTCGAGCTCTGTAGCAAACACACCCACCATTTCGGCTTCCGGCCCTCGTCCTAAGTTTAGAGTTCTTGGCAAACTTGGGTTCCCGGTGGGAACCTACTACCTGGGCGGGTCACTCAGTGGCCCCGCGACCACGCCCCTCCGCTGTCCTCCCCGCAGGGGGTCCCGGCCTCTCCTAGCTCCAACTTGCCCGCACCCACCCCTGTTTCTGCCTGGGATGGCCTGGGGTCGCCTGGGGAGGTGGGGAGTAATGGACTCAGCAACCATCTCCCCCCAAACCCTCGACCCCCGCCGGATCACCCACTCAGGTGCTCAAAGCCCCATATCCTCCCTTGATCCCCGCCCGGGGAGGCGCCCCTGGGTCTCCACGAGGGGCAGGCGCTCTTGGTCTCCTCCTCCTCCACGCCGCCCTCCCACCTTACCCCCACTCGGGATCCCACGTCCCCACGGGGCAGGGGCTTACCGTTGAGAGCAGGCTCGCCCGGGGCCAGCAGGCTGTGGTTGAGCGCCGCCCCCGAGGCGTTGAAGCCGAAGAGCAGTTCGCTGGAGTTGGACGCGTCCCCGGCCAGGGAGTCCGCGAACAGGTTCATCTGCAGCAGCGCGTTGAGCAGGTAGCGCAGC